ACGAATTAAGTACTTGACCCGAGGTACCACTGTATATTCTTTTCACTAATGGGTGTACTGAAGTTCTCACCCTGGGCCAGCAGGGGGAATACTGTAGATAGTTTTCACTCAGGTCCACATATGCAAATAAGGAATTGAAAGTGACGTTCAGTGATTGGATAGTTACAGAAAGTGGTTACTGTTGCGTTGTAGTTGAGCTCTATATAAGCAGGCTGACTGAGCTCTTCAGTTCAGTTCTGTTCTGGCCTGTGAATAAACAAGAGCTGCCTGAAGAATCACTGTGTCGTCTGATATGTTCACCCACATCTTAACAGGTGAATTGTGTGTGTGTGTGTGTGTGTGTGTGTGTGTGTGTGTATATATACACAATTTACCCTTTTTGTACATATTAGTCAGCTGAAGAACTGCACTGCAAAAAATCAGAGACGTGTGGATTCCGAAGAACAGCTGTGTTTCGGTTAGCAGATTCAGAAAATGCAGATGAGGTAAGTTCGCCTTTAAATGTGAATTGAATCGAACCTGCCCCCTTCCCAAAAACCCTTGCTGAGAAAGAGCTCTGTTGAACTCCAAAGCTTTCTTCAAGCCAAACAAAAGAGAAGTCAGTCACTTGTGCCACTTGCTCTATTTTGTATGTTTTCTTGAGTTTGATTCACTCGGTGCAGCAATCGGAGTCGGACTGGAAAAACGAGAGGAACCAAAACGACGGATTAGTTCATCCCTAACTGCATTCGATTCAAGGAAAACTTTCCCGGGCCGAACTCTGGGAAACAGGAAAAGCAATGCCTCTGACGGTCCTGCAAATTTGAAGGAAAGCCAAGCTATGCATAGTGCTGATTGGGTAGCCCATAAAACACCCAAAGCAATTCATTTAAATTTATTTTTTAAAGGAGTAAGACAACCTATGAACTTACCACTATTATTTTTTAATTCGAAAATGTCGAGAGCCTTTACTGGCCGAGGGAGCCGGCGTACAGCTTCCGAGTCATGTGGCCAGTGTGACTAAGCCGCTTCTGGCGAAACCAGAGCAGCGCACAGAAACGCCGTTTACCTTCCTGCCGGAGCGGTACCTATTTATCTACTTGCACTTTGACATGCTTTCAAACTGCTAGGTTGGCAGGAGCAGGGACTGAGCAACGGGAGCTCACCCCGCCGCGGGGATTCGAACCGCCAACCTTCTGATCAGCAAGTCCTAGGCTCTGTGGTTTAACCCACAGCACCACCTGCGTCCCTTCGCCTAAGGAGCCCTTATCTTTGCTTCCTGCAAAGTTCTGAAAGTGAAGGATGTTTGTGCTGAGCGTGCCGGGTGGGGGGGGGCGGTAGTGTCAGGCACAAGAGGGATATAAGAATTTCCTATACAAAGCAGGCGGTTGTTGCCTCTGCGGTTGCCTCGCCATCAAACAGCACAGTCACAGGGAGGCAGCGGCAAGTGGCAGGTCTGTGGTTTGCCACTTTGATACAAACACACACACACACAAATCCACAAACATGGGGGTGTTTGTTCTATCAGTTTCTCATGCCTTACACGTGTCTGCTCAAGCCCAGGAGAGAAAACTTTTAATTTTCATTAGGTATAAACTTTAGGAACAGAGGAAGCTGCCGTATTATACCTGGCCAGACAATTGCCCACTACTGCCAGGGTCTTTCACATCACCTGATGCTACCTGATATATCTATATATTTTATAAATTTTTTTATTAATTTTACAATACAAAATTATAAAACACATCACACAATTTATCACAAATACATTCTTATTGGACTTCCCTCAGCTCCTCTGATAATCCGTCTTATTCACTTCTTACGCATTTCCTAATTTAATATTGCCTTATATTCATAACATATCCTATCTCCATTTTCATTTTTTACAATATTTCTACTATTAATTCTTCACAGAGCTTCTTGCAAACCTACAAACGTTGTCTGATCATTGCAAATACTTTTCAGATAATCTGTAAATTTACTCCAGTCCTCGGTGAACTTCTGGTCCCGCTAGTTGCGAATCCTTCCTGTTAATTTGTCAAGTTCTGCATTGTCCATTAATTTCATTCTCCATTCTTCCATCGTTGGTAGTTCTTCTTGTTTCCGTTTTTGGGCCAATAATATTCTGCTACCTGATATTTTTTTTAATAGGAATGCCAGATGTCAAATTTGGGGCATTCAGCATGTGTTCCAGCACTAACTATACCCCCTACCCCTTTTTTGTTTTTTTACAGGGTGAGTAGACTTTCCATGATCTCTTGGCACCAAAATTCTAGCCAGGACCGGGAATTTTCTCACCCCTTCCCTGGGCTTCTGACCGAGAGGCATTGCAAAGAATCCTGTGTAACTGAAAAACTGGCATATGCGCCGACCTGCGGCCAAGAATTCTGTGTAGCTCTGAAAGTTTGCATGCTCTTAACAACAGCAGATTGTGGCCTGCTTAAAATAAAGCAACAAATCACCTTACCCATCTTGTGCACTGGGTCTGTGGGCAGGCAGGGATTCCTTAATTCCGCCAGGCTTCTCTTAATTCCAAGTGCTTTGGCCCAGAACTATAAAAGAATAACCAGAAAGAAGGCTGTCAGTGCAAACCACACCACATTAGGCGGGGGAGAATACAAGTCATCTGAGCTGCTTGCCCCAGCCGCTGTTGCCTTTTGTCCTAGTGAGTGCATCCGCTGCTCAGCCTTTGAAAGCAATCCTTGTGAGTCACTGAAAACGCTTCAATAAATCCAGCTTGTGGGAATTAAAATGATCAGTTACGTCAGGGCGGGAGTCGCCAGGACGCTGCCTTTTCCCCGAAGGAGCACAGACATGCCCTTTTCGCGCTTTGCAAAACTCCTGGAATCAGCACAGGGCTTTGGCGCCACAGCCCCTTCCCGACTCCCTGCTGCTGCTGCTAAAGTGGCAAAACTGGAATGCAAGTTAAGGAGGCGAAGGGTTGCCAACTCCTCACCCCTTGGCTTCGCTCCTGCGTGCGCTTAGCAGAACACACAGAAATGAGGCAGGTGCCACTTCTAGCATTTCTCCAATGAAAATAGGGACATCCTATTTAATAAAAGGGACGCGGGTGGCACTGTGGGTTAAACCACAGAGCCTAGGGCTTGCTGGTCGGAAGGTTGGCGGTTTGAATCCCCACGACGGGGTGAGCTCCCGTTGCTCGGTCCCTGCTCCTGCCAACCTAGCAGTTCAAAAGCATGTCAAAGTGCAAGTAGATAAAAAGGTACTGCTCCGGCGGGAAGGTAAATGGTGTTTCCATGCACTGCTCTGGTTCGCCAGAAGCGGCTTAGTCATGCTGGCCGCATGACCCGGAAGCTGTATGCCGGCTCCCTCAGCCAGTAAAGCGAGATGAGCGCGGCAACCCCAGAGTCATTCGCAACTGGACTTAACTGTCAGGGGTCCTTTACCTTTACCTTTTTATTTAATAATAATAATAATAATAATAATAATGATGATGATGATGATGTTTATTCCCTTCAACATTTCTCCAATGAAAATAGGGATGTCCTATTCAATAATAATAATAATAATAATAATAATAACAATAACAACAACAAGAACAAGAACAATATTTATTTCCCATCCATCTGACTGGGTTGCCCCAGCCACTCTGGGAGGCTTCCAACATATATAAAAACATAATAAAACATTAAACATTTTTTAAAAAACCACTTCCCTATGCAGGGCTGCCTTCAGATGTCTTCTAAAGGTTGTGTAGTTACTTATCTCCTTGGCTCGAGGGTTGCATAACTCCATACCCGCCAACATTTCTCCCATCAAAATAGCAACATCCTAAGGGAAAGTGGGACATTCCAGGACCAAATCAGAAACTGGGATGGCTTCTGGAAACCCGGGACTGTCCCTGGAAAATAGGGACACTTGGGGGCTTTGGAACTGCTGCTTTCTGCAATGTTTTGGCTGTGTTTGCAACCGTGAAGTGACCTCCCAGGGGTGCAAGCCTGGGCAGTGTGTCTGGAGGTCCTGGGCTGCCCAGAGGACAGAACCCCCCTCTTGGCCTCGCTGATGTGATCCAAAGCAAAGCAAAGCAAAGCAAAGCAAGGTGTTTGGCACTAGCTGGGCAGCAGGAATTGCCAGAAGGAGGCGAACAAGGCACCATCCAACCGTCTTATTCCGGATTTATGAAGGCTTGGACAAATCTTTTTTTTTTAATTTTTTTATTCATTTTTCTTTTTCATTCATTACACACATCTCATATTCATAATATTTGCTATACATTCCTCCCTCCCTCCCCTCCTTGGCTTCCCCCAACTTCCGCTTCCGGTTTGTTTCTCTTTTCAGCCACTTTGCTGCCTCCTAAAAGAAAAAATTACTAATAACATATTTATACAATAACATCAAACCTAAAAACATAAAAATAACAGTGAATACACTATATTATTTCACTATCTTCTAAACTTTTTCTGATGCTGATAATGTGAATGTTTATTTTAATCCTGCCATCAAGTCTATAGACTTTCTTTGTTTCTGCAAGTAAAACATAAATGGTTCCCAATCTTTTTCAAAGTCACTGTTGTCTTTTTCTCTTAATCTGTCTGTCCTTTTTGCCAATTCTGCATAGTTCATCAACTATATACTATGGTATTTCTCCAGTCTTCCAATTTTGTGCAATCAACATTCTCGCTGCTGTAGTGGCATACATGAAAATAGTCGTCTTTTCTTTTGGTATATCTTGGCTTAAAATACTTAATAAAAAGGCTTCTGGTTTTTTTACAAAAGTTATTTGCAACATTTTCTTCAATTCATTATATATCATTTCCCAATAAGCTTTTACCTTTTTACGGCTTGGACAAATCTTTAATCACTGACACATGCACAATACTTTAAGCGCTGTAATTCCACAGTGGAGCAACTGGGTTCGACCAGGCAAGACGTCTGTCTGAAGCTCTAGAGAGGTGATGCCCCAGAGTTTATGGCCGATACTAAACTGGGTTGACTTGGTATAAGATAGGTTCTTTCCGTGATCATAGAAATCATAGAATTCCAGTGCAGGAATATGCAGTTGTGCCATACAGGGCTCAAACCTGCGACCTTGGCATTATCAGCACCACGCTCTAACCAACTGAGCCAAGAATACACACCATCTATGTTATTAAGCAACACACATCAGCGTTTATTTTTTTAAATAACCCCAAACCCAACCAGTCCTGTACTGTCCTCACTGACTCAAGGTGAAGAAAGAACAGGACCACAGACTACAATTACAGAAGGATGGGAAACTTTTTAATTCTGGCAGTATCGGGCCTGTATAAATTCAGAAGGTGCGTTTTTTGTTTTTTTCTCTTTCTGGCAGACACATGTAATTATGCAGAAAGCCTCGCTCACTGGATTCCTGCCAGCCATGCGGCTGTTAAAATCACAGGAGCCCTGCCAGTAAAAAAAATTGGCACCCCTGGCTTCTCAGGGCGGCTGGTATGTTGCCAGCTGATGGGGAGACGGGACCTGGCCTGCTCTTGTGCCTTATGCAGCAATGTGGTGTTCATAAGCAGCACATGGAAGTTTTTAATGGCTAGGGACGGGCGAGGAATTTGAATCAGGTCACTTTTAAAGGAAAATCTACCTTTCCCCAGATATACAATTTTTATTTCTTTGTTTTATCACTCAGAAACCGCTCCTGGTTTCCACATACGCCTTTTCAGATAGTTTAAATGTTTCATCCTAGCATTTCTGATACTTGGCATTTTATTTTATTTAGAAAATTTGAAAATAAATAATTAGGATTCTGAATTTTAAAAATCAATATTATGACTACTAATGAAGAAAAAAGAATTATCTTTAAGGGAATGAATTGTATGGTGAAATGTTACTAAAATTAATACAAAGTACCCGTTTTACTCTCATGTTGGCTCGTTGTTGACTTTCTTTGGTAGGCTAATTTAGTTAGCAAAGCGGTTTCCCAGATCTTCTGTACCCTTTCATTCAACGGAGATGACTTTTTATTTTCCATAATTGTGCAAAACTCTTGCTAATAAAGTAATCACAAATTTCTGTTTCTCTCACTTTTGATTTTAATAGGCAATGGAGTACAGTTAGGATTTCCTGGTATGTCATATCCTAGATATCCTACACAATTTTAAAAGTCTCCCTCCGTTTTATTTTATTTCTAATTTCACACATTTCCAGAAACTGTGAATATAATCTGCTTTCGATTTCCTGCATCTCCAACAAAATAAATTCAAATTCTTAATTCATGAGGTGTAAAGGACCATTGATTTTGGGGGGTGGGGGTGAAATTCTTTCAAATTTGTAAGTACTCCTAGAACTGAATTAAATAGGCAGGACTCTTCTACCTGTGAAATTGTAAGGTTGCAGTTTGCCATGTCTTTCTCTGTGTTTGGTTATGTTTTATTCTCTGTATTTTAAAATGACTACAGGTGACTCCCTGCTTATGCTGGAGTTACATTCAGGTCCCCTGGTGCATAAGTGAAATGTGTATTAGTGGGGAGCCCACACCCCATTGCTCCTCCAGCTCACGAGGAGACCTTCTCCAGATCCTGAAGTGTCCTCTCCGGGCTCTGGGAAAGGTCTCCTTGCGAGTAGGAGGTGCAGCAGGGCTTTGCTGAGGATCTTCAGGTCTCTCCCCCCATTTCCGGGTTTCTGTGCCGCACGTATGTGCAGTCTCACATGACTTGAACGCGCATAAATGGGGGGTGGGTGCCTGATATGCAATATCAGAAAGAAATAGACAGCACTAACTCAGAAAACCTAATCTGTAAAAGCGAAGTAAAAGATCTTCAAAATGCGTCCACTGACCTAACGGTCCATTATCTATTTTTATCATTTGTCCCACTATGTTTGTAAGTTGAAAAAAGGGGAGCATTTGGTTTAAAACCTCTATGGCTTGATCATATGGAATTACATGCCCATCTTTGCCCCAGTTACCAAGATATAACATGTTATATACTGAAGTTCTCACCCTGGGCCAGCAGGGGGATACTGTAGATAGTTTTCACTCAGGTCCACATATGCAAACAAGGAATTGAAAGTGACGTTCAGTGATTGGATAGTTACAGAAAGTTGTTACTGTTGCTCTATATAAGCAGGCTGACTGAGCTCCTCAGTTCAGTTCTGTTCTGGCCTTTGAATAAACAAGAGCTGTTTGAAGAATTGCTGTGTCGTCTGATATGTTCACCCACAACTTAACATAACGTATTTTTTTTTGTCAAGCCCAGACCGATACGTTTATGGCAGTGTGTTAAATTCATTTAACAATATAAAGGTCAGCGGTGATACAGCTGGTGCTATTTTTTGACGATTCCAACGCTTTCAGCACACCTGTTGGAAAACATTTAGGATTCAGAATCTTCCTGATTTGCGCTTTCTGAAACAAGGCACAAACGGGAAGTCAGCTATCAATGTAATGAAATTAGGGTGTGGAAGCAAAAATTCTTTTTTATGTGCTTTTGTTTTTGTGTATTGTAATGTTTTTCTTTTTTCTTGTTTCTTTTTATGTGATAAATGTGAAAACCAATAAAATTTTTGGAAAACAACAACAACAACAAAAAACAAGGCACAAACTTAAGCACAGCCATCACCTGAAATTTGCAACGCAGTTCCCTGGCCGATTCACGTTCACAAAAACACACCCTAGCCTAACTGTCTGCTTAGAAATGCACACAATAGTGGAAAGAATATACAAGACTGCACCGCACTAGGGAAAAACTGCTTTGCAAAAATGTGTATGATCGCAATAAAACAACCGATGAATTTTCATGAGGATTAAAGAAATAAATAATAAAAATCCGCAAACTGATGTGGAAATTTGAAGAACTAAATTTAAGATTGCAAGAACGAGCATTGCTGCCAGCCATGTATGAAGACAGGTCATTGGCCTATGTGGACCAATACTGTCTACTTTGACTGGCAGCCGCACGACAAGGTGTGAGGGAAGGGCTCTTTCCCTGTCCCACCACCAATTGCATATACAGTCATACCATGGGTTACAGACGCTTCAGGTTGCGTGTTTTTGGGTTACAGACATGCCAAAAGTACAGTGGTACCTCTGGATACGAACGGGATCCGTTCTGGAGCCCCGTTCGCATCCTGAAGTAAACGTAACGTGCGTGCGCGGGTCGCATTTCGCCACTTCCACGCATGTGCGTGACATGTCTACCCATGCGAGAGCGTCAAAACCCGGAAGTAACGTGCTCTGTTACTTCCGGGTCGCCGCAGAGCGCAACCCGAAAATATTGATCCCGAAGCTACTTCAACCCGAGGTATGACTGTACCGGAACGGGTTACTTCTGGGTTTCGTCGCTTGCACATGTGCATAAGCGCTAAATTGTGCTTTGCGCATGTGCAGAAGTGCCGAATCGCGGCGTTGCGGGTTGCGGGCGCTCGCTGGGGGTTGCGAACGTGCCTCCCGCATGGATCACGTTCGCAACCCGAGCGTCCACTGTACTCATTCAGGCAACATGGATCAAGATGGGGCAAATTCTGACTCTGTATAATACAGCTCCCCTTGTTCCTTCCTAGGTTCTTATTTTTTTGCTTGGGATCTCTGGCAGCTTGAAATCAGAGTCTTAACTGCTTCGGACCCTGGAGCCAGTACGCAGCCGCCATGACCGGTAGCAACTGATAGCCTTATCTTCCACAAACACATCTAATCTCCCTTTAAAGCTGTCCTAAGTGAGCTGCTACTGGCATCCGTCTGTCTCAGGAGACAATGGAAGACTGTGCCTTCAGCACAACATCTTGAGGTCTCAGATTTCAGCCGCCGCCTGTGCAATGCCTTAAATTCAGCGTCCCCACCTCTTGCCAACATCACAGTTGCAGCACCCCCGAGGCTCTGTGCCCAGTGTAACCAAACCTTAAATTCGCCTCTGGTACCTTTGGGTGTGAAGTCAAACTTGGAGGGCCTATGTGGCTGCAGAGACTGATATGGGAGAGACATGTTTTGTTGCAGCCGGGGCAGACGAAGGCGTTCGGTTGTGCTGCGCCAGGGCGTTTCTTCTCTCTGCGCTTCCTCCCAGCGGTCATTCCTCCTCTGGTCACAGCTATGGCCGCACGACCTGACTCTTTGTCTCCAGATGCTTCAGTCATCTGCAAGGGATTCCCACATGGCAAGGCTGATGTTGCAAAACGTTCATGCCACGTTTGCAGACATCTTTGTAACACAGAGTTGGCCTGCCAACGGGCCTTGTGCCTGAAGCCAGTTCTCCCCAGAGTACATCCTTGGGGATCCTGCCATCTTCCATTCTGTGGTCATGACCAAGCCAGCGTAGACATCACTGAGATAGGATTGTGAACGTGTTGGGAATGTGGGTTTGGGAAAGCGCATCTTTGTTTGAAACTGTCCTGCCATGTGCAGCACATGTGGAAGACATTAAGACAGCCTAGCCCAAACAGACACCCTCCAGATGTTCTGGATGAAATAATAATAATAATAATAATAATAATAATAATAATTTATTATTTGTACCCCGTCCATCTGGCTGGGTTTCCCCAGCCACTCTGGGCGGCTTCCAACAAAGATTAAAAATACAGTAATGCATCAAACATTAAAAGCTTCTGTAAACAGCTGCCTTCAGATGTCTTCTAAATGTCAGGTAGTTGTTTATCTCTTTGACATCTGGTGGGAGGGCGTTCCACAGGGCGGGCGCCACCACTGAGAAGGCCCTCTGTCTGGTTCCCTATAACCTCACTTCTCGCAGGGACAGAACCGCCAGAAGGCCCTCAGCGCTGGACCTCAGCATCCGGGCAGAACGATGGGGGTGGAGACGCTCCTTCAGGTATACTGGGCCGAGACTGTTTAACAACAACAACAACAACAACAACTTATTTGTACCCCAGCCACTCTGGGCGGCTTCCAACAAGGATTAAAAATAGACCAAAATGTCACACATTAAAAACTTCCCTGAACAGGGCTGCCTTCAGATGTCTTCTAAATGACAGGTAGTTGTTTATCTCTTTGACATCTGATGGGAGGGCGTTCCACAGGGTGGGTGCCACCACCAAGAAGGCCCTCTGCCTGGTTCCCTGTAGCTTTGCTCACTTCTCGCAGGGAGGGAACCGCCAGAAGGCCCTCAGAGCTGGACCTCAGTGTCCGGGCTGAAGGATGGGGGTGGAGACGCTCCT